TTAAGCAAGGTACTTAGGCACATGTTTAACTTCAAGCACTTGATCAGTCCCATTGACTTCATGTGTTTAAAGTTGGGCACATGCTTCAGTACCTGCTGAATCAGGACCTTTTCTAGCATATCTTGAAAAATGAATGAATGCTAAAACTTCAAATCTGGGCAATGTTCCTGCAAGCCCTCTGCCCAAGGAAGTCCTATTGAAATCAGTAAGTTTTGCATGTGGCAGGCTTGTAGGATTGATATGTATGGCTAGGTCTAGCACACTTGCTAAGTTTCAATTTTTTTAAATTATAGGGTCAAATCATGGGATCACTGATTTCACTGGGAGTAGAATTTGGGCCATAATAATTTAAAATTATATGTCTGTGCACATGCAGTAGTTGTAGTAGATCTTTCCATTCTGAAATTCGATCTGCACTGTGCCTGCTGCCCCTTCCCCAGCAGATGGGATTTCACATGAAAGCTTTTGCAGAATTCAAAAACTGAAGCAAGTAGTCTGCCAGCAGAGTCAGTTAAGCAAAATGTGTAAATATGCAATTAAAATTACAGGACTGGATCGCACAAGCATTTATACTACAGGATACGTCATCCAGTACTGGGAGTTGTCCCATTGACTTCAAATGATTGACTCCTTGTATTAAACATGTGGCATTGACTGTATTCGGGATCAAGATTCAGTCTACTCTAACACATAATTTAATGCAAAAAAAGTGAATTGATTATGAAAAATTCCATTGCCCAACTGCAGTTCCACTTTTACCCAACTTGTCTGCTGCTTGCAAAGACTATTTAAATGCCATAGTTTGGGGTGAAATTGTTTTACTTAGTATTTTTATTTTTTCTCCTTCTCTGCCTCTTCTCTCTCTCTTTCTCTCTCATTTTTTTTAAGGATGTTACAAACCCAACCACCACTTTAATTCAACATTAAAGCTGAAAATGTAAACACACTGAAGTCAGGAAATGATAACACTTAGACTTCCCTGAATCTGGAGCAACATTAAATTTCTCACATTACACAAGTGCACTAATCATGTTGATGATTGTTAATGCCTTTAAAAACAACATGGATAGTTCAGGCAATGTAGCCAAATTAGCAAAGCTTTGGGAATCTTAGCTCTGGAATTGTCTGATTTTTTGTGTTTAGGTTTTTAAACTTAAAATTGCATTGAGGTAATGTTTTGCATTTCATTCTCTTTTAAGCTTTCCTGTCACAAATACTGGGATACCATTAGATTTTACAATCTAAGCAGGATTAGGCCTGGTCAGTCATTGTACATGAAACCACGAAGGACCAACTACTTACTGGAGGAAGTGGTGTTAATGTTTCAGTAAGCAAAACTGCCATAGGTAGCTTTTCAGTAGGGAGCATGAAGTCAGTGCTGATCGAGCCCCACAGCATGGTGGCTCAAAATCAAGCCATAGATATTTCAACAAACTTCTCAGTTGGATTTCAATGAGGAATTCTGCATTAAAATCAAGGCCACAATTTTAGAGGATATTGTGCTACTAGAAATAGTGTCTTTCAGGTAAAATGTATGTAATAGCTGACTCTGAGTCTTCTAGACTACCTTGAGTAATTAAAAATGTACAAATTCCAATGTATGTAGGTACTTTTGCCTGTTTAAATTCTTCCTGCCATTTTAATTGGCTAGTTTTCTTCCTTATTTTCTATTGTAACATTACTGGAAGTCTACAGGTAGCATTATTGCAGATAATGCTAACGGGGAGAGGGGACGGTGCTGAAAATTCACAGTGTAGACACACCCTATGTCTACATATTCAGCCCTGGTGTGGGTGGACACAAATCCAAACACATTAGTTAGCTTACATCCTAGCATTTCTTTTAAACAATCTAACCCGATTCCGCACCACCACCACTTTTCCTAGTTGTAAAAAAAATTCAGTCTCATTTTCACGCCACAGAAAAATCTTTACTGAACGTCTTTTTGTTTACTTCACAGAGTTTTCAAAGTGATGTTGATGTTTGAAAGAAAAAAATCTCCTGAACTTCAGTTTTTACTTAAACAAGTTGATTAGTAAAAGGAAAAAAATAAGTTAAGGCAATATGGAAAAATAGGGAGATACCATTTCTTTGTTTTCTCTTATTTACTTTGGAATCAAAACTACCTTTTAATAAAATGGCTCATTAAACGTATTGTAACACATTTCCATTGCAGCTTGTTGTTTTTATCAGTGTGTATCAATGCCACTATGGAAACACCACAAACTTGCTGAAATACATGTAGCATACATATGAACACAGATCTTTCCACACCTTTACATTTCTATTCAGTATTTCAACCACAAAGTGGTGCTATTGCAAAAGCTAACAGTTAGTGGGCAAACCCTCATTCCCTCCTTTTCTAATCACCCAAGATGTAGATAAACCCAATGAAATATTGACTTTAGCTACCCTTTTATTTACTAAAGTGCATCTCATATGTATATAAATGTCATAATAAATATACTGTTTTACTGTGTAATACCAAAATTAAATAGCTAGAGATACATGTTTAAAAATAGTTTCTGTATATGTGTGTGTAAATGTTTGAAGGCTCACCCAGGCCTAAAATGAACAGATCAATGCTTTAGTGATCAGCACAATTTAAAACCACAAAATAAATAGCATAATTACTTTCCATGGCATGTACATAGTAATATTTGTAAGTTTTCAAAGTAATCTCATTTATATTTTAAGGACTGAACTGAGTATCAATTTCATAAAATATTACCATGTCAGTACTTCTGACATGATGGTTACCTTTAAAACAAATCAATCATTTTCATAGGTAACCATTCTACTCTTTGACTCGATTAGCAATAGTTTTACATAATATTGAAAGTTGTAGAAGAGCCACTTGTAGTTCTAAGGATTATGGTGAAAATGTAGAATAAATGAAGATAAACACGTGTAAAAGTGGATAGAAAAATCAGGAGTAGTTTTGAACCATTTAAGGGAAAGTTTGGGAAACTGAAAGTAATGAACATATCTTCGCTTCCTCTAGCTGTGAAAATAAATACCCCGTCTACAATGCTTTTTACAGAGCACACATATTTGGCAAGATTAAGGTGTCACATCTCAAATTACAAGGCGTGTTGCTGGCATGCAGACACAAGTACAGAGCAAAACCCCTCAAATTGTGCACAATGCATGGTTCTGGTTGGTTTACCTCCCATCAGAGGTAGCCAGCCCCTGTATGCAGAAATCATTTACTTGTAGCCTACTTGTTTCCCTTCTTTTTGCTGGACTGGCTGCAATAGCGAAGTTCCCGGCTCTGGGCTGTCTTCAGAAACTTAACCCTTTGACTGCTGCTGCTGGAGCATAATACTGGCCTGCCACAGGAAAGATTTCTATTGCTGGCTCTTCAGGAGATTAAAAAGGCACCCAGGTCTGACTGCACTGTGTGTATGAGGGGGAAGAGAATTTACATCTGACTCCACTTTTTGTTACAAAGGCTCTAAAAAAAAAAGTCTTGATGGAAGTTCTGCAGACAGGCAAAGTGTGAAGAAGAAAACGCATTAGAGTTGCTCAGCCTTTAAGCTACGTGTGGATTGTGAGAGCAGCAAATTTTAGAAGAATATTCTTAGGAGGCATCGGTGGAAGATTGCACTTTTTCCTTCTGAGCCTGGGCATTCAGATGTGACAATCAGCTCAGGCAGTGATGATGATATAAGACAGGTACACTGTGTGTAGTACAGAGGTCCCCAATGGTGTTATTTTACTGATGATGATAGTAATATTTTTTTAAAATAACTTTTCAATTTACAGCTGAAAATAGATCCCTAAAACGTGACAAACCTCCAGCTAGATTTAAAGGTTCAAAGGGGGTAGAAAGATGCTCTGAGGGCATGAGGGGTGAAATGATACTATACAAAACAAGGAGGAAACTAGTTTGATTGAATAAGGAAATAATATAAACCACATTATCTCATAGAACTGAGATTCTCGAAGGAAATGTCTTCCCCAGAAGAGTGTGCGCGCCATACAAACGGTTCTGTGTGCCCCCTTGATTTGGGTTATGACTTGCTCAAATTATACTTGAATCAAACAGAAAAGAAAGATGACATAAGCATTTAAATTTAGAGAGAGACTATTAGAGGCACGCAGCTAAAATTATCAACGATCGCTGTGAGCTATCACTCTAAATAAAAAAGTTTGGAAACCAGTCACTGCTGACGGCTGATGACCTTTCCATGTTTTTGGCACCCCCCCCCCCGTCCTTTTCTTAATGGACTAATCTACAAATCAAAAGGTGGGGAATATCTGACCACGAATCCACCCCTGGGTTCTCTTCTTACAAACGAATATTGCTTCCAAATTGGGGAGGGGGGCACTTGGCTGACAAAAATGCTAACCGACCAACCAACCCAGCAGGTTTAAAATTTGGAGTTAAATAAAAAGGGGGGGGGGGAGAGGCTTATTAGAATGTACTTCCTTCTGCTTTTCTTTTTCACCTGTTTTATGTGCACTTTAATGACTTCTGAACGTGGGTAAGAATAGCAACACATGTAAACAGTTTGACCAGGGTGTGTGCGCGCTGGAGAGAGGGTGGACCATTACAGTGCTAATGCATAGACATTTGGGCTATAAAATACTTCTCTTCTGAGAATCGTATTTAGAAAGAGATGTTTATGATTTAACAAAGGAATTCTATAAAGTGTTCCCTGTTGCTGACACTGTTCTTAATAGGAGGAGATCCTGTTAGGAGGGGGATAAAATGATCAACAGGTCTTTTAAATTGTGCTTCTTTAAAACGCACACGGGGGAAATACCTTTATGGGGGCTTGTTCGTTTGCAAATAAAAAAGGGCTTCATTCGCTGACTTTCCCAACCAGGCAGCGTTATTGGAAAGGGTAGGTAGGGAAGGCAGAGTGTGGCAATAAAGGGGTTAATCCGCAGAGCACAGAGCCATCTGGCTGAGCTGGTTTGTTATAATCGAGCAGATTATGTTCACGGGACTCAGAGTTTAAGGCTCCTCTCCCATAGAGCAACTCTGCACAGCCCAAGCAAACCAACTTTGGGACTTTGAATGAACATATTTACATCAACCTCTCTCTTCATGTCGACTTTTCTGGAAACATTCACACGGATGCCATGGTTACTCCTACCACGGTAAGGGAAATATGACATTTTCTAATAGGGTTGTGAAGGTGGGTGGGGGGGGGTCTTTAAAATCTGAAACGAGGGGGGTCTTGTTGAAAGATCTGTCCCAACTTCTAGAGCCTGTCTCAGTGCGTTCACCCCCAGACCTTTCTTTAGTCTGGAGACTCCTCTCTCGCTGTTCTCCACAGCCGGCAGTTCAGGTCCGCGGCAGGGAAGCAGCCGGGGGCAACTATGAGGTGCTAAAGGAATCCGATTTAAGAGGCAAAAGCAAAGAAGACTCGTGGCTTTATTTTAAGAGAGAAACCAGCACCTTCAGATATAACAAAAGGGTTGCAAAGCCTGAGCGGGGAATGCAAGAAATCAGCTTCAGCACACGTGCCCCGAGGGAAAGGTAGAGCCCATGACAAGCAAAGTCAGAATTCCCAGTTTCTAGACCTCGCCTCTCTCAGGTAACTAACTTCGCTGGTGCTTTTTCTTGTGCCAGACACAGAGCGCCTATGCATGACCTTTAAAACTACCCCCACATTCCCTTCAAACCCAACCACTAAATTCTCTGGAAGGGACTGGAGATCAAAGGATTATCTGCACATCTGTGTCTAGGTGAACTGATACATTCACTTGGAGTTGGCAAGGCAGGAAACGTATTCCGACGCTGTACGATTTCCAGTCTTTGGAAAGTGCCTTCTAGGAATGTAGCAGGCAGCCACACACGCACAGAGAGGGAAATAAAAGCGGCTTCTCGACCAAACAGCTGAATCGAAGCTTAGAAAGTCAGTTACTGGCGAGGGTTGGGTGTTTTTTTGTTTTTGGTTTGTTTGTAGTTGTTGTTGTTGTTGGTTTTTGTTTTGGGGGGGGGGTGAGGGAAAGACACCCAACGGCTGTTAGCCAAGGGATAGTAGTAGTGGTGGTGGTGTATCCTTGAATGGCTCAGATAGTTCTCCAATCAGTTCTTAATCCTTCATTAAAACAAACATTTCCCTTCTCTCTTGCTCTAGAAATATGCTGTATCTAGAGAGAGGAACAGTTGGGGTTGAATTAGGCTACCACGAGGGCATTGTCTGATTCCCATATTGCAAACCAGTGATGTAGAGACGAGAACCGTCTCAATACACAGGGATGTGCGAGATATGCTCCGCTCTGTTCCTATAAGCTCTCAGAGAAAGTCCCCTTTGCTGCTAGGCTCGCGTGAAGCGTGCAGATAGCGTGCGAAGTTTGCCCTAAAGCTGTGCCTACCGACAAGTGCCCTGACAAAAGACAGCCCTCCCAGGCTCAGCCATACCTGCTCTGTGTATTAAGTGAAGGGTGACAGACTGCAACTCCTGCCAAAGGTGTCAGCAACAGCCGACGTAAAACAACCCCAGTCCCCACGCTTGTGGCACAATAGACAAAAGCAGACGAGAGGCAAGCGAGTGAGGAGTGATTCCAGCTGCCCGTAGTACGAAGGCTGGTCTCGGATACACACGTGTCAGTATCAGGAGCGCTGGGTGTGCGAGAGAAAGGGGGCGAGGGGGGAAGATAGGTATGAATGTGGGAAAGAGTGTGTAGGGAAGTGGGGCTGGGGTGCGTGGCATGGTAGGTTCCTACGGTTGAGGTTAGGGATGTGGGGTTTTTTTGCTGGGGGGATTAAGTGGAGTGTGTGCAAAGGGGAAAGACAGGGGTGTGGGGGTGAAAGGATTATGCCAGAGGAGAGGGAAGGTTGTGTGTTTGGTGCACATGACAGGTGAGGGGTGCAAGGGGGAACACAGCTGGGTGGGTGGGAAATCACGGGTGTGTTTGGGAGACCGTAAGGGAAAGTAAACATGTGGGGGAGAGAGAGAGGAGAAAGGGTGTGGACTGGGGACAGGGTTGGGGGGGGATGTATGGGTGGAGGGGGAAAGGGCACAAGGCTGTGTGTTTGGGGAGGACAGGCAGCTAAGGAATGCCTGTGTGGGGTCTAAAATGAGGCCTGTAGGATTCTGTCGAGGGGGAGGAGTCTGGGTATGGAAGGTAGGGGCCCTGTGGAAGCAGAGAGCACCTCAGGGTGTGGGGGGCTGGAGAGGAAAGGGTATGTAGGGCAGCGATGGTGGGTGAGTGTGGGGGAAGATCAAGGGAACTGCAAAGGTGTATGGGGAGGGAAGAGACCAGAGTCTGCAGGGCAGGTGGTCATGGGTGAGGGAGGTCAGGAGGCTGGTGGAGCCAGGAGAAGTTATAGTGTGTGGTTGTGAGGCAGGGTTGGAGTAAAAGGTCCGAGTGGGGATTGGAGCGGGGGGGAGGGAGGGGTGAGCTAATGGGAATTGTGTGGGTGGGATGAAGTGTGAAGGGAGGGTAAAGAAAGATGTGGTGGGGTTTGAGGCATGTGGATGTAGGTGGGAGGACGGGGAGATGTAAAGGGGGTGTAGATGTGGGAATGCATGGGGTTCATGTGAAGGGCAGGTGAGGGGCAGAAACGCAAGGCGTAGTTTTAGAGGAGAGATGGGATATGGAAGTGAGAAACATTGTAGGAGAAGGGTGAGCAAAGTGCAGGGGTATATAAAATCATGGGCGTGTAAGGAGTGAGGTAATAGGTGTGAGGTGCATAAGGGGCTTGGGCAGAAGAGGAAAAAGATGCATATTTGTGGGGAGGTAGGAAGCATTTGTGGAGGAAGGGAGTGTGGTATGGAGGAATGTAAGGCACATGAGGACAAGGTGTGACGAAAGGGATGGCTATAGAGTTGTATGTGTTGGGGGAGGTCAGTGTGAATTCAGGGCTGGGTAAGGGGAGTGTGATTGTCTGAAGGGGGATTGAGGCATAAGGTGTGGGTGTGATGGGAGAAAGGTGGGGCCAGGTAAAGGGATGTGAGGGAAAGGGAATTAGCAGAGAAAGGGCCTCTAATTATGTATGCACTATGGAGGTGGGGGCTATAAGGTGTGGGGAGCAGAGGGAGTGGGAGGGCTGGCTATGTGGAGGGGTAGTTAAGGGTATAAGTCTGAGGGGAGTCAGGAGTGGGAGTAGAGCGTGTGGTATTACGGGAAGGCAAGGGGTGTTGGTAGGGGCATAGATTACATGCAGGGGAAGAGGAAAGGGGATGTTGGAAATAGTTAACGAGTGAGTGATGAGGAGGCCAGTGTATTTGTGTGAGGGGTTCAGGAATAGGGTTGTCTCTTTGGGAAGTATGGAGGGATGGTGACAGGTTATGGCATGAGAGTGGGGAGGGGCATTATGGATGTTTATGAGTGTAGGAAAGGGTTATTCAAGGAAGGATAAGTAAAAGTTGTGGTGGGGAGGGAAGAGGGTCAGGATGTGTGAGGGTGCATGGATAGTGTGGGGGTGTGTGGGAGTAGGCACATAGGGAGAGAGTAGGGAGATGGAGTAGGGGTGGATGGAGTGTGTGTGGTGAGGAACAGGAATGAGTGTGGGGGCGGGGAGTCTGGGATAAATGCAGGGCAGTGTGGATGTAGGGGTAGAGGATGTTGTGTAAGGGTGTGGGAGGTTACATATTCATGCGTGGCACTGTGAGTAGTTTTTGAGTGTGTCTGTTTGGTGTAGGGGAGAGGGTATGGGAAGGGTAGATGAATTCTTGTTGCAGGTGGACACAGGTGACGTGTTGGGGGGATTGGTAGATGTGGTTACTGTTTGTGGATTGGGTTGGGGATGTGTGGGTATATGGGGATTGCGTAGGAGGTGGTGTTTAGATTATCGGCAGAGAGGTTTAGAGGGAAGTGTGTACTGGGGCAGGGAGATGGTAGTAAGTTTGGGGACATGCAGGAGTAGATGAGCTGTGTGTAAGAGCCTGTGGTTATTGAGGGGCTTGTGTCTGGGCAAACGTTATAAGGTGTGTGTGTGAGCAATGCTGTTTGTATATGTATTGGGGAGGCTATTGGGAGAGATGTGTGTGATGGGGTTGCAACAGATCTGAATGTGGGGTCTGGTTGTTTTGGCATAAGGGGTATGAGGAGCAGTATAGGTGTTTGTATGGGGTTAGAAGATGTGTTTTTGTGGAGGGAGTAGGGAGAGATGGCTAAATTGAATATGAGTGTGATAGGCTGTATGTAGGGCAGAGAAATGTTGGGGACAGAGAGGTGAATTGCAAAGGTGAAGAGCACCATCTCAGTGTACCTGAAAGAAGAGCATCTGGCTGACGTTGAAGACTGAGGCAATGCTGAAGGCAAGAGGGAAACACTGAGGAAGTCTTTTTCTCCATAACAATCCTATCCATTTGAGGCATGTGTTCTCAGATTGTTAAAATTGATCTGCAGCCTCGGGGTCCTCTTGGGCAGCATTTTTCACTGTGGTTATCTGAGTATCCAAGCATAGCACAGTGCCTATTTCCATCTGCAGCATTCCATCTGTCAGAAGATGGAGTCTGGCATGATCAGGCAAAGATGTGGCTACTGTGATCAGCTCAAACGTAACACCACAGCTTGACTATTGCAATTCTGTGGGCCAGGACCTCAGCTAGCACTGAAACCAATGTAGTTTTTCTGACTTACACCAGCTGAGAATCTGGCCCACTATAACCAGGAATCCCATGTCCTGCAAAAGCCCTAGCAACTTCAGGGCTCAGCAAACCCACTTGGTCAGCCACAAAGCATGCCAGGAAAACATAATCCTGATTCAATACTGTCTGCACTGATTCTCCATTGAACGCGGAGTCCAACTCAGGATCCTTTTCCTAATTTTTCAAATCCATGCGTGAAACTGGTTCTAGCTACCCAATAGACCATTTCACTCTGTGTGTGATCACAAACTCCCATGATCGTTACATCCCATTGGAACTATGAAGCACTTTACCAACAGAGGGAGACTCATGACCACAGGAGACAGACACTTCATAGGAACTGTGCCAAGACTATGGAACTCATTGCCAGATGAAATAAGAATGACTACAAGTGTCCTGAGCCCACAACTTAGTCCAAAAAATCCCACAATTATACCTTACTTATACCAAAGCTCCTGCTCTATATTCCATAATAATTTAAAAAACAAACCGTAGAAAACAAATCCATAAGCCTGCCAGAAGAGAAGGGAAACACATTGGTTCCAGGGGTGC